TAGAAAGGATCGACGAGAGAAGATCAAGCAGGTCAGTCGCTCAGGTTATGCCTTCTTCACCGAATCGTCCGACTTTTTCATTCGTCGGAGTAGATCTCGATTGAACTCCGCGGGTTAGCACGCATCCAATGGCTTTTATTTTATTCACGGTCAACTGCAGGCCACTGGAGTCTCGCCGTGGCCGCTCGTGAACCTGGAAGAGATTTAAAGCCTTTTTCAGCCGCGGTTAAAGCCGTATTTGTGGCCAAATCGACCACCGAAAAGTCCGAGCCTCTCCGAATATGATGGGTCAGCACTGGGTCGATCAACTTGAATGCCTGCTCGATCTAGATCGACCCTCGATCCCTGGGAGCGAGCGTCTCCTAAGTTCTTTTCAAATCGTTTCTTACGACGTTTCTCCGTCTCTCAGGCGTGTATTCTAACCGCGATGGAAACGTCGAGTGATCGCGTTTCTCGTGGATTTACGTGACTGCGACAGAAAGGAGACTGGTGCGTTGAATTTTAATACATGGACGAGTCGCGTCGGGTATATGCGGTGATGGCCTGTTTTTAAGTTTAGCGGTTTGTAGTCGTATCAGTGGTGAATTTTAATTTTTCACACGCACACGTTACGTGCCTCGTATGTCGATTTAATAAAATTTCATTAACACTTTAATGAGAAACGACTGAAACGTCATAATTGTATTGGTGAAATTTGAAACTAAACTGGAAATTTCATGTAAAAGTGTATGGAAGTATCGTGAATCATACATTCAAAATTAATGGTAATGCAACATTAAACATACGTTTAAAATAAAAGCGAAGAATCAATGTACAGCATAAATGATCATTTCAAGCAATTTTGAGAGTAATCAGTAATTAACAATATGTTTAATTATTTTTGTCACGTTTGTGAAACATACGCTATATTTTTAGATTTTGTATCAACTTTGATCAATATAATCACCGTAGTTGAATTTCACTATAGTGTTAATGAAATTTCAAAACGTTTTATATGACACACACGAGAGAGACATGTTCGTAAAAATTTCCTACAAACGTTCGAATACTTTCGCTAGCAACGGTATGGGATTTTCATCGATTTCAATGTCAAAGTCTACATCAAACACGATGTTAAGTCGACGAGTTTCGCATCGATTTCGCGAGACTGTCTTCCTTCATCCTCTCGAAATGCTGTTTGCAGTATCCTCGTTGATAGGATATTGTTTTGCAAAGTGAATCTCGTCCTTTTGTGTCACTTAATGATTCTTGTATAGTTCGCGAAAAGGGACGTCCAGTTTTCTCTGTAATCATCGACAAACCAATTACTATCTTTGCCAAGTATCGTAGCGTTCTAAAGACGATCGTCAATGTTTAAAGTTACCTCTTTCACCGCTGGTCTATTTTCGGCACGATTCAATGCGCTTTCAAAGTCCTCGTGATCGTTTTTTTGGCTCTCGGAGTCTCGAATTCTTTTTTTTATAAAAATTGCGAGCTGGAATATGTAATTAAATTATTATGTGCGTTGCTGTATTAAAATTCGTTTAATACATTAGTTACACACGTTATGTGAACGTCCATGCAATCCATATTTAATAATTTCTATTCTTGTGTCTACTACTTTTCAATGAAGTATTATTTCAAACTTTACATTTAAAATTCATAGTAATTTATCAAATTTTTATAGTTGTTAAAATGTACAAAAATTTTTAAACATTAAATATTATTATTATTATTACTATTAAATACAAAAATTAATTCACTACTCTGACGAACATTAAAATAAAGAATTTTAAATAAAAATCTGTAAAATTTTAAACTAACTGTTTGTACTGTTCTATTATATTGTCAGAAAAATATTATCAAAGGAAAAGTAGTAACATCAAAGCAAAAGAAGAGAATAAAACTATGTTTCAATATGTGTGTTAACTATAATATGAGTACCTCTGTTAGATCAAGAATCTGAAGTTTCGAAGTTGTCAGTTTGGTAACAACCACGGAAGAATCTGAAGCGTACGGCTCGTAATCCGAACTAGGGACATCAGACGAAGATTAGGACCGTAAAATTCCCATCTATTCGCGATGTCTATTATTCACGGCTGTCGTCACGTTATTAAATCATCATTACGTTGACACTGTCCATTCTTACATCACGTTCGACGAAGTTGTTCCACGCGAATCGATTTAAGTGCAATCAACGACAACTCGGGTGTTTCGCTTCGAAAGTGAATCGCCAGAAACCTACTGATATGTAAAAAACAATGTATAAAATAGTCAAGATCGAGCGCTGCTCGTGACATTAAACAGACGAAACAAATTCCTATTTAATTACATTCAGCAAAGATAGAAAATTTACACTCACACGAATTCGTAGAAATACAGAATTGCATTCATAATTTTGAAATTTATTGCATTTGTACATGGATATGAATATCTCTAGATTTTTAACAACATTTACGTATGTATTTCATGTGAAATATAAAGCGTTTTGAAATATTGAAACAAATCTTAAAACCTGCAGAACGATACTTAATAGAAATATACATTTCGCAGGCATTAGAGAAACATTTGAATAGCCAATTATCCAACTATATCGATTCAATGGAAATGTGTTACTTAATCACGCTTAAGACGATTATTCATGCTGTTAATTAATTTCAATGAATATCTTGTATATTAATGCACTGCATGCTGATTCGCATCAGTCTTTTATCGCCTATTACCAGTTTCCAACGGCCAATTTTATTCATCAACGACGAATTTAAAACACACGGATTGATTCCAAATCCAATCCCGCTGCAATGTTAATGACGTTTCGAAATATTTCGTAAAACACGTATAAAAGTCTTTTCATAACAGCTGCGTACGAATACCACCCGTGGTTCAATATGCACAGTATATGCTGGCGAATGAAAATTTTGTTGACGGTACACGCGACGTCATTAACGCGTATACGGGCAATTTCGACTCGGACGTGGAACTTTCTAACGAGTGGACGGCTCTTGACAAATCTGTCATTAGCAAACCGGAGTCGAACGATCGGCAAGCAACAGGCGGTCGATTCGGAATTTAGTGTTTCGTTAGAGTCGGCTTCCTTAAACGATTCGACGGAAACGAGGAAAGTGGAGAGAAGAAAAAAAAAAGAAAAAAAAAAAAAAGAAACAGAGAGGAATTAGCTTCTGCTCGTGTCTTCGTCGAGTGTGTTGGTATCTAGCGAGTTAAAGAGGTTGGATCGTTGGACTGAACGGTTCGTCTTACCTTATTTGGACCCCACGGCTCTCTTCGCGGCTATTCATTCTCAGATCATTCCTCTCTTCGGCTGGTGTTTATGCATTTCTCTCCGAAGATCCGCGTGGAATCACTTAAATGGAATTTTTCACGAATTAAAGAACGCGAACGTCGTTCAATTAAACGCTTGGTCTTACCTTTCTTGATACCAGCCCAGTTTCTCAACACCAATTAAAATCTTCTTCTCGTTATCGGTTCTGTACACATTTATACAACTGCGTTCAATTGCAGACGGCGATTCGATTTCGGTAGAAACTCAACTCGGGATCTAACTTCGGGATTCGTTTCTCTTCAGTGTTTTGAATTAATTTCGTTCTTTGTTACAGTGGTACAGTGTACTCTACTGTTGAATAGTTCCAAACAGATACACTATGATAAATAATAAACTTCTAAACGAAAGTGTTAGATTTCCAAATGGAAATGTTGAATTTGATTAATTTGTTATGGGAATTATATTTGAAAGGATGGAAGCATGATTCAGGGGGTGGCAAAAGGGGGAGGAGGGGGAGAGGGATGATCTAAACGAAATAATCAAGAGTGAGTTTTAAATACTGATGCTTTATTTTATATAAAGTATTGTATAAATGTATAAACGCTATAAATATGTGGTATCTATCTATGGTGGTGGTGGGGTGCTAGTCGTGATCGCAAAGAAAGGGTATGACGAGGGCGGGCGGGGTCGGGGGCCGGCAGCGGCGCGCCATCTATTTACATTCATTCACTCACGGGAAGGGCTGACCTACCATAATCTACCGGTCTCTCTCTTTCACTAACATATAACACGATTATATAATATATGTGTAGTGTGTGTATATATACGAGTACACATATAGGCAATGGTGTGTGTGTGCGCGCGTGTGGCAATGTGTTCATATATATATATATACGCGAAGGAAGTAGTAGTAATAGTATGTATACATGTATATATATATATAAAGAGAAAACATATATGCGCATGGACGAGTAATGTAATAATAATATGTATGCTTGAGTGCGGCAGTGAGTATAACAACTTGTGAGACCGGCGCGGCCGATCGTTGGTGCGATCGTTGGTGCACGGCTCATCGGAAGAAAGACAAAGAGAGAGAGAGGGAGAGAAAAAAAACACAGAGAGAGAGAGAGAGAGAGAGAGAGAAAAAAAGACAGAGTGTGGTAAATATATGTGTGAAGAGCGGCGGCCTTACAGATGGTGGTAGAGAGAGAGAGAGAAAGAGAAAAAAAAAAAGAAATACAAAAAGAGTACTGCCGGAGCAACGGTGGGTGTTCAGAAAACAGAACAGAACCCAGTTGGTCCAACGACGAAGCGCCAAAGCTTATCCACTTGCTGGGTCCATGGCGGAGCAGCCGGGTTCAACGTGCTTGCGTTGACTCTGGGCTTCTGGCGCGGTTGGTTCAGGTGGTTCGTCAACTGGAAAGCTTGGACGCGGCTTCGATGCGTAGCCGATCGTACGACACAGGCTCGTCGTGTGGAACGCGACCCGATATGATAGTGACGACGGTCGCGGCGTAACCGTGGCTGGCAATCACAGTTTCTCGTTCGACTTCCTCCGTCGCGGTACGCGATGAGTGTTGATGAAACGAACGAAATTGACTAAATTTTACCCGTGCCTCGTCTGGACGATGGGGGACGAGTCGCGTGATCGGCGAGAAGGTAACGAGACGAGACGAGACGAGACGAGAACCGCAGGTCACGAACGGCCTGGTCCACGGTCTGTGTATGCGTGTGTGTTTCACTTTTCTTCTTTGCGTTTCCCTCTTTGTCGAGATCTGAACCCGTGATCGTCCCGACGGCGCCAGGAGGCCGGCGTGCTGGGCTTTCGACTCGCGCTTTTCGCACCGTGTCTCGATATATACCGACTGGACTTGTGTGATTAGAATATATTCTGACTATATACCGACTACACCACTAACGCCGGCGCTATGACCATGTTCCTAGATTGGACGAAGCTTTGGGAAGAAGACGTTGAGCGCGTTTGAGGATCGTTTGAGACCGGTAAGTGACTGTGGTGGGTTTGCCGCCGTCGCCGAGCCGAGATCGCTGGGGCCTTAGAACGTCTAGTACTTGCCGAGTGCGGCGGGGATGATAGCTCCGTGAGAGCCGAGTCCAGCGTGGATGGCGCCAGACGGTCCGTTGATCACAGCAACACCACCGTCGTGTCCGCCGAGGCCAGCGCCGAGTCCGGCACCACCACCCACAACAGCGATGGCACCTGCAAATTACCAAACGTGTCGGTTAAACGATTCAATTTCCAACTCCATCGTCGCGTGTCTATCGTTGTTGTTATTGACGTTGTTATTATTGTTTGACTATTTGACCGGAATACAGACCAGCGCCACCGAGAGCGAGTCCAGCACCACCGAGAGCACTTGGCGCACCAGCGGCAGCAGAGCCAGAGCTACCGTCGTCACCGTTGATGTTGCCACTGCCAGCGTAGAAGTTCACACCTCCCGAGGATGGTCCTACCAAGTTGGCAGTACCCTGAGACGGTCCAACGAGGGTGGAGGTACCAGCTGAAGCACCCACGGAGGTGAATGGACCAGTGGCAGGTCCAACGAGACCAGCTGGGCCGGTACGAGGTCCACCGACGTTCTTGGCACCTTCTTGGGGTCCTACGAGGTCAGATGGTCCGCTCTGTGGTCCAACGTTAGCCCTGGGTCCTTCGGCGGGTCCAATGTCAGCCCTGCCTCCGATCACGCCTGCATCAGACAGAAACAGAACAAAAGTGTGAATGATTCTGGGTGAACGACCGTCCCTCGTCCATCGAGGTAAATCTCGAGATTATCTCGAGGCGACTCCTCGTCGCGCATCAGCTAGTTACGCACCACCAGAGACAATCTGTTGAATTCCAGCAGCGCCAGCCGCCGCCGCAGATCCAGCAGCGTAGCTGACACCGAGAGATGATGATCCCAAGCTGGACGCTCCCTCTTGCAAAGATCTCGCGCTACCGGCACCCGCTGCAAGTCCACCGGAGAGACTAGCACCTCCACCGGCTGCCAGGGCAAGACCATGACCACCGGCTGCCAGACCAAGACCATGACCACCGGCAAGAGCATAGCCAGGTCCATGTGCGATTCCGGCGCGGGCCGTCGCCACTGCCAGACAGGCGAACACAACCTGCGAGCACGGGTCAGTTCCGGTTAGTTTTCTTACTGGTCGCGCGACTAATGTGATTTTTCTTTTCTTTTTTTTTTTGTTTCTTTCCAACGCGATCGCGTTCGTTTCGTTACGGTTACGTGTCCGAGAGTACACACCGTAACTTCGTGAAAGGTACGCGCGCGCGGTAATACCCGCGCGAGTGAAATCCAGCAAGGGAAAAGGAACGTAAACGAACGAGGACGAGGCTATCTCGAGCGTCTCTTTACGGAAGCAAACGCGTTCCGTTCGACCATCGCCGCGACTTTAGATTCCCATTGACTTGGCACCGATTACCACGAACCACCGTTGTAACATAACCGCGGCTTTCACTTTCGATACTCGGTACACGGTTGTAGATTGGCGCGCGCGCGAGCACTCGTCGTTTCACTGCATCGGGAAACGATCGCTCGTACCTGGGAAAACGTTGTCCCTCGACTGCGATCCCCTTTAAAGCGTGAAAGCAACGATGCGACCGGTTGTCGCCTCGTTTAATATCAAAGTCCGAGGCAACGATCGCTGGGTGGAAGTCGATCGTGAAAATTTCGCAACGATTCCGAGACGCGTGCCGAATGATCCACGAAGCTTCTCTATCGTTCGCGTTCGATCGAATCCTTTTGTCGCGATTGAAATCTTCGTTGAAGATTTTGAAAAACGTTCTTTTAGGATATGTAATGATAAATCCTTCTTTTATAGAATGTTCGGAATATTGTCAAGTGCAAGAGGAAGTTACACTATTGTCCAGTTATTATTATTATTGGTATCGTTAATTTATGGATATTCTATCGCGAAGTATCGAGTTTCTTCTTGCTTGTTCCCTCTCAATTGTAAAAAGAAGATAGGCCTGTTCGCGTCTCGTGCAATCGCGTGTTCTTCTAACGCAATTCGTGATTAGCGGACGATCAACGTCCTCTGAAATTCGCGCCAACACAGACCTGCTGCTCGTTTCTAAAAGGAACGATTCCGAGTCAACGCGAGCCGATTGCTTCCCCCAGGCGATTTTTCCTTCCATTGCTAGAAACGACCGGTTTCGAGCCGAGGAGAAAATCGAACGAAACAAAACTGGGAGGCGAATCGAAAACTAGTTCGAGATTCGGTTAACCCGAGCATTGAAAGTCTAGTCTCTTTCTTTAGAGTTATTCGTGGATTAATGATTTGAAACGTCTTGGAATATTCTTATGTAATCTTCAAACAAATTGTCGAACAACTTTGACATTCAAAGGCTCAAGCTGTTCAATCAACCTTAACACAATCGACTTTCTCACAGCCCTCTTTTGTATTTATAAACCATTCTAAACTTCCAAAAAAAACACGTTTAACGGTCGAACAAAGAGAAGAAAATTTGAACTGTTATTTCCAGTCCATCTCGAACGTTTTAACTCAGTCAAAATCGTCTGAACACAGGCAGTCAGCCTACTCTCGTCTACTTTCCTCGAACAACCAGATGATTGTCCATAGTTACCTGTAGTTATCCAACGTGAACGCGCGAAGACGGATGAAAAGGGGAAGGTGTTTCGCGCGCGTGACGGAAGACGGAAAATCGGTCGGGCGACGCGTCACGCCCAACCTGTCTCGAATGTTGCACTTAGAGGAGCGCGTTGTCGAGCCCTGCCATCATGCATATCTAACTGCCTCGCCGTGAGACTTTCACATCCCGTGTTTACGTGGAACCGTGGCAATCCGCGAACGCGGCGGAGAATCGAACGCGACGCGCGCGGATTTCGAAACCGCGCCGATCGTTCGCGACATCGCGTCGTCTCGAACGTTCGACGACTCGACCGCGATCTGAGAAACGAAACGAAACGAAACGACGTCTACGATCGAGCTGATTTGGATTTCGCTTTCAGGTCGAACGACCGGAGGCGAGTCGAGAGGAAAATTGGCGAGCCGAGAGCGAGGACAAACTAGGCGTTCGTGAATGAAGATGCGCCGGGAATAGAACCGGTCCGCGTACCGTTCAACAGGCTGAATGACGATGATACTATTACAACCGGTTCCGCGGTCAGCGTACCGTGCAACAGAAACCCGTTGCCGCATGAATGGAACGACGTAAGAAGGGCAAAGTCGATTCGTGCGTTCTGACACCGCGCGAAGCGGAGAGGATGAAACGATTTGCCAGAGGTTCGAGCCGTGACATTGAACATCGTGGAGGGCACGGTGCCAACGGAGTTTGTGTCAACGGCGAGGAAGCTCTCGGGACTTCGAGTTTCTATGGGTTTCGGGCTGAGATTAGCAATTAGAGCTATTTACGTACCGCAACCGGTGTCACGTTATGGGAGAACACGCGAGAGTCTCCCAAGACTAGTCGATCGAAAGGCAAAAATCTACGTGCAAACTACGGGCAATGCGTTCTTTAAACACTCTACAACGTGCCGAACGTGAGACCGATCGAGCTGTCTCAGCGAAAAATTCGCCGTTCAACCGGATGAAAGTGACGCGAGGACGGAAGACACGAGTTCCGAAATATTCTACAGTTCGAGAACAACAACCTCGCGGCTGGATACCTCGGATTAATCGATCGTTACACCCCGCGAAAATTCACCAACCCCGTGGTGGATACTCACAAAGGCCTTCATGTTTGGTGTGTGTATGGTGGGCTAGTAGTCCGGTGAATGACTGACTTGGGCCGGGCCGGCGGGCCTTATATACGCCTAACTCTACTCTGGCTACGCTCCACAATCACCATCCTTTCGAAAGCAACGCGCTCCACACCACCCTCCCCCCAGAAAAACTATAATCCACGTCGTACCAGCGGCCGGCAATAGACCAGATGTAGTCCCACCAGCCAGCTTGGGTTTAGGGGGCAGGCAGGGGGAGATGGCCCCCTCCTCCCTCTACCCCTCGCCTACACGCCGATACACAAGTTGCCGGTTGTAGGTTGTTTGCGGGTATTCCACGGCTTCGTCCATGTTCTAACGGGCCGTTAGAGAGCAAAAGCCTCCTACTCCACCCGCCCCACCATCTTGGCCTACACGCTCGTAGGCATCCACACGCCAGGCCACACCAAGTGCAACACCAGGCACCACCCGGGTTACCTGGTCACCTACGATATCCAACTCTCTCGTGTCCAGGCGTGGTGCACGACGACGTTTTATATACCAGAGAGCCAACAGTCGGCTAACGAAACCAATCGAGATCTGGTACTCGACGAGACGCTTCTTTCGCGAGAATTGGATGAGTCTTGCTCTTCTAGGTCGAATATCTAGGAGGAATAGGAATGATTCGATAGGAAGGACGATAATGGTAATGGTAATGACGGTTATTTCGGGCGATGTCTAAATGCCGTGCTGTGTTACGTAACTGGTTATACTGACTGCGGATATTTATGCAGATTTTTGTGCAACGAAGGAAAGAAAGCGGCAGTTTGAAATTGATGTTTGGTTACATGATGCGTGTGATGTTATGAATTCTTGGAGCAGAAGTTTGGAGCTTCTCCCTTTGCGAGAAATGTTACAATGTACAATTAAAGTATTAATACCCTGGTAATGTAAATAAAAGAACACTAACTCTGCTCCAAAATTTTATGTTAAATGTTTCTTTATCGACATTAACGCTAATAACATATGTGTATATACCAATTAGGTAATTTTAAATTGATTTGTTCATCGGAAATAGTAACGACAAGAAATTTTCGCACGATGTAACCACAAAATAATATTAAGAAGAAAGTTTCCAACGAGAACATTATTTGTAACGATAAATTGTACATCTTCTAAATTGTACATTTCGTATCACACTGATAACAATGCTCTATTTCATTATTCTCATTAATATAATTTTGTGAAACGTTTTGCAAAGATATCATACATTTTCTTACCGCTTGTCTGTTAAGCTTTCTTTCATTCAGTTACATAAACATCGATCAGCTGATCTCCAAGTTATAACGCAAGCATTTCTTATTATCGTAATTCGAACGAACCACAAGCTAGGAACGTGCTCTGGAAAGCGAGCAGACATCCCGTTAACATAGTCGCAGGAAGTTTCGATTGCAAAAGATCGCGCAGATTTAGCCCTGAAACGCGTGCAATTTCTCACGATCTCTTGTTCAAAGTAAAAGCACCATGTTCTCACTTGGAGGATCCTCTCGAATCGATTGAGGAGACATTTCGCGAGAACGATTGTCCTTCATCACTTTCGAGCACTCGAGTGACTGTTAAGCAGAAAATTTTTATCATTTGTTAGATAGATAGATGGAGAACCAAAGAGAAAATACCGAAGAGATGGAAGAAAGTGGAAAAAGAAAACTGTAACGAATCTGAGAATAATGATGTGTCGATTAAAAGTTACGTTTGTGGAAAAGAGAAACCTATCTTCATTTAAAAGTCTTAGGATATTTTATATTTTTAATGTTTTTTTTTCATGTTTCATATATTTTATGATATAATTGAGAAAAAATTTTTTTTCAATTAAGAAAATTTTATTTTTAATTTCTTAATATCCAGAACTTATTGCAGTATTGTAAAATTCGCCAATGACACATGAATTTTAACATATTTAATAGCACAACAAAGTAATTTAATAATACTTTATGCAACAAAGAAATATCTTATCGAAAATTATATATATTAAATAATGATATATTTAATTACTCTTAAAATATTGTTAAAATTCTATTCGAACTCAAATTATTATTATTATTACATGCATTTAATAATAATGTGCACTCATTATTATTATTATATGCATATAATGTATTATTAATATATTATCGTTAACATGTTACTTCACGGATAACTTTTTGTACAAAGTATCATTAAATTTTTCCAATTTCAAAGTCTCGAGATTTTTGAACAGAGGTGCAGTTAGGATGACGAACGTAAAAACGCTCTAAATAATTGGAGTTACGGGACGTTGAATGGCCTTAAGAAACTTGGATTCTTTTCCAAATAGATTGCCAGCCTCCGTCGCTTGTTAGTTATTACATCAACCTCCTAATTTCAGCCGCCATGACGCATAATGCCGGCATCTGGAAATAAGATCGAGCCCGTGAGGGGTCGTGCTATTATGCCTGCTGATTTTGAATCATGCCAATGGCCCGTTTTAAAAAAACTCCGCGACCGAGAAATCCAACCACGATAATTTAAGCGTTCCGTTAACATGAAATACTCCATTCTCTCGGGAAACGAAAATTGCGAGTTCGTTGCACTCGCAAACGCGTGACTCTATAAATTAGTCTGTCTGATTTTAAAGGAAGCACGTTCGCACACTGACGATTTTTATGCAATTTTCGTGTGTCGAAAGTAGTTGAACTGGAGGTTCAACAAATTAATTAAACGGGAATTAAATTAATTAAACCTGGTAAATGTTATAATAAGATTGTCAGTGTCTATGCATTTATAGAGAATTTGCAGAGAAATTATATAAAATATCCGCTACGTCAACATGTTCGAAAGCAAAATGTATTTCACATCCCTAAAGTCACGTTCGTAGGAATATGAATTTCTACAAACTTCTGATATTTTAGATGCGGTCACTTCGTTATACTTTATTTATTGACGCGGTAAGAACCTAAATCAAATACTAAATATCATAATGTGAAACGCCTGAAAATCTCCAGTCTATTAATTTCTTTTTTCATCCATTCCAGGCCAGAAATTTATTCCAATATTTACGAAGTAATTGCTTTCCTTATATTGATTGCTTCGCATCAACGAGTGACAGTGGAGATCCATCGATACGGGCTGTTATAGCGAGAGATGTATCGGCATTCGTTTAATTATAGGGTGAAATTCATCTCGTTAAAATGGCTCGTTATCGGCGCGCACGGTTTTCATGCAGTTCGTAACGATGTTCGTCTGGATCATCCGGTGGCACTGCATCGATCCCGTGTTTCAGTGTCCTCCCGAACAAAGAGAACGCTCCGACGTAGCTCTAGCTTCCATCTAGGAATTCACCGCGATATATTTACAAAGATAACATTATGCCGCTCTTTTCGCTGGTCTAATTTACATAATTGCGCAACCGTTGTTCAGCGATCCCCGGCAACAGTTTACCGAAGAAAAATCGCTTGTCCCTACCAGCGCTGATAAAACGCGATCACGATGAAACGGTGTTTCGACTTTCGTCGTATCGCGAATCATCGTGCATTTTTATCGTCGGTAAGCTTGAAATATTGGAGCATGTTGAAACTTTAAAAGAGATTTCCGACACTCGAGTCAGGAAGTTTCAGTTTTCTAAAGTCATTCATTTATTTATTTTTTTAATTGGAGGGACAGTTTTGAAGGTGAAATTTTTAATTATCGTGGGTATAAGATGAAACGAGTAAAAGAACATAGATAAGGGATAAGGGGTAAATTATATTATGTCTCTTAAATTAGAGGTAATGGGACTAAAGCGAAATGGAAGGAAAGCTCTAATTTGTCATTAAAAAAGTTTATAGACGAGTTCTTGCGTAGTAGTTGCAATTTATATTTAATTTAATACCGAACTTATAAATTAGAAATAAAATCCTTGTTCCCAGCGTTGGAAGAATTACGTAAATTTTCAAATAAAATAATACTCGAGCGAAATTATATCGACACGCGATACACCTACATCATTAGTTTGAAATTGAATGGGACTTGTGGCAATGGAAATTTATACCCACGGTATAAATTCACATTCTTTAGCGATAAAAATTAAATTAAATTAACGCAGGCGTCAAATAAGTGTATTTTTACGATATTGATATCGTGAAACTGTCATCGATCTTGTCCAAAAATAAATATTTCTCAGAAGTTTATACTTATAAAAGTTAAAAGAAAAAGGAAAGAAGATTATACGAAATAGAAAGTTCTCCAAGCTCCTGAGCAGTGGCGTGCTTATATATATATATATATATATATATATATATATATATATATATATATATATATATATATATAAAACAGAAGAAAAATGGAGAAAGGAAAAGGGGAGGAAAAAATGGAAATAAAGAGAAGACCTTGGAATGACTTAATCCCGCGTCGATGGAGGAGAATTGCACGAACGTGGTTAATTAAACGAAATCTAATTAAGGCCTGGTTTCGGAATGATTCCTCGGCCGGTACGTATCACGGCCGGCTAGTTTCCCGGCTCGCGCGAAGTGAAAGCTATTATATTATTTGGCGTCCACGAAAAATGGTCGCCGATCTATCGCGAAAGTCGCCCCGCGCACCGTAATCTTTCCTCGTAAGCACTGACCGGTTTCCAGCATATAAAGGGATACGATTGTGCCGGTTGCAGGCTCTCTTCGTTCTTGACCACCCTCGAAACAGCAGTCTGATCTGTTAGCTTACCACCGAGTCGATCATCGGACACGTGTATTCGTGTATTCGTTGTTTCGTCATTTGGCAATCGAACGATGGATCTTTGCATATTTCTTCTTGTACGTAGTTGTTCATAAAAGTACTCGAATGGAAATTTCGCGTGCTACGTAGAAACATTTTGACATTTCACTGATATTGCAACGAGGCTCGACAATCATTTAAAAATTTATTTATTACATGTGCATGTTGCATTTCGAGAGATCGCGAAAGTATTTGAACATCACAATTAACAAATTTTCATTTCTGACACTAAACTGTATACGCATTTTTAGATTGCCTTCAAATTTTAATATGATCGTAATATAATCATAATAGTCGTCCTTCATCGCAAGTGTTTCTACTTAACGCGAGAAACTATTCCAACAATCATAAAACATTATGTGTAAACACGATGTCGTTATATTGATCAAGTTCGAAACGAATCTAACACGGAATTTAATAGAAATCTGATACAAATAAATATATATATTCGCAGAGATTATAAAATTAAACAATCGTAGTCCATTGTATTATATATAAGAAATTTTAATGTTCAATATAATTGTATACCCATGTAACCCATATTTCACTAAACGTACGTTTGTGGAATAACTATATGGCAACTCGTACAACATATATTTCTCTCAATTACTTTCAATTTGACGACAATCTTGCCTTGTCAGATCACATAAAGTCAGCCTCACACGTACAAAGGACAAACATTCGTGGAACATGAACGTTCGTGAATCATAGATCCATATGGAAGGTTGCGCAATGGCGAAAAATTCGCGAGCATGCGAACGTAACGTAAGAAGTAATATAAAGGAAGAAAGGCAGGTGGACAGAAAGCCGCGCGGCGATCGGTATAGATTATTTAACGAACGCCGCGGCATTGTGCAATGGCTGGTTCGTTTTTCTTTCGTTCGCTGGTGTCACGGTTGAGTAATAACGTTCGCAGCCTATTAATTGTGCGTTTATTGGAACCTTTGCGTTCCGTCGCGATCGAGAGAAAGACACGTTAGTTTCTGACCTCGTTTCGGGAATTTATCCACGACGTTTTTCGCTGTGTATCGATATCCATTTGCCTGGGATCGATCAGCGATCGATTGGCTGCAACGTCGCGCGCGCGCCTACGTGCCCCTGATAAAGCCACTTTCTCGAAACCCGTGAATCGAATCGAAACTAAACTACGCGTTCCTGTCGCTGTTCGCCTCTCGAACGAGAACAAACGTCCAGCCTGTCGTTTATATCCGTGCAACATTCTTTCTCTCGTACTGTACTTGCCTCGTATTATTTTCTGTTATGCTTCCTTTCCTCTTTCCTCTTCACTTACTCTATTTAATATTTAATATCAACTTAATTACTTACTTTAATTAATTATTACTTAATAATTACTTTATTTAGTACTTTCATTTAGTACTCAATATCAACGATTCAGGTTATTAGCGACAGAAACCAAATTTACAAAATTTCATAGAATGTTATATCGCTAGAAGATATTGGAAGTAATATGGTTGTCGCAAGTTGTTGAGGATTCCAGTAGTTGTACAGTTGTAATCCATCAAAGCGTTCCGATATAAAACCGACACACAGTGGATGCAGAAAGTATTCAATGAAAAATTGTCGATGCTTCAGATTCTCATAACTTCGCGATTTGAAGAATTGTACAGCAAATTTTACGGGATCGTTGCGAGGAGTTCAATCTTCAAGATGCGGTGGATTCAGTTCGTCAGGGAAAAATTTTCATATTTCCGTAAAGACGTTTGGGCTTGCGAAATTTTCGGGAGGAATAGCATCTTCTTCACATAATTTTAGCATAATTTATTTTCAACGTTACTTGCGAGACATCGAATTTGAAATTGAAGGGACTGTTGCAATAAAGAGGCAAACGTGGTATAAATTTACGATCAATTAATGAACTTACATTGGAGCTAGCTCCTTTTCAAGCGAGAGATCGCTATTACTTTTAATAAAATAGGATGCGCAAGAAATGTAATTCTTGAAAATTATTATTACACCTTCAATTAAAATAAT